GGGCAGGAACTGATGACAGCTGAGGTGCTGGTCTATTGGCCTGTAGCAGTGCCAGGAGTGCGTGCTTAAGCCTATTGATCCTGCCTTGTCTCTTTATTCAAACCTAAAATGGGCTCGGGGGCAGTGTGATTGGGAATGCACTGCAGCAATCTTGCAAGTAGGCCAAAGCACCCAGAATGATGTCGCACCTCCCTTACCAAAGTCACAGGGACATAAACAATGGTGCTTACTGGTGCCTCTGATCTGCTGTGTTCCTGCAGATTCTGGATAAGCACTATAGTATCCTGGCTTTCTCTATTGGGTCTCTTTTTCTTGTTTGTTTCAATCACCTGTCCGTTGTCTCTCAGAAGTAAGTGCTTTATTCAAAGGTGCATATTTCAGTGTGTTTATGGAAAGATGCTGCTTATGGAAAGATGCATGTTACACATCCTCCTACACCAGTCATCCTGGGTCTCTCCTCTGAGACACATTATTTTTAAAGGAGGTTTTCAACAATATACAAAAGTAAAAAGAATTATAGAGTGAACTTGAAGCATACATCCCCTACTTTAAATAATTAACAACCCTGGTCAGTCTGGTTTTGTTGATACCCTCACCATAGATTTTTTTTTATGTAAATTCCAGAAATTAATACATTTTTAAAATAAATGTGTCAGTTTATCTGGAAGATAAATAATATCCTTAAAAATAGGACATGTCACCCATTCCTAAGCAATATTCCCTCCCCTTCTTTTTCTATACCTTTCCTTGTTTATTGATATTAAACCATTTTTTAATCTCTGGCACTTATTTCTTAATTGTTATTTCATCGTCTCTCTCTCAAAAATCTGAAATGGAAGGCCCTTAAGAGCAGGGACTTTGCCTGCCTTATTTCTATAAAACATAGGGCATTAAACAGTGCCTGAGACATAGTATGTGTTCAAGAAGGCAGAGAAGAGAAGCCGGTGTGTGCCAAAATGTTAGTTCTGCTTGCCAGGGCAAGCAACAGTGAAATGGGTGGATGAACATGTACATTGACTTTCCAAATATTTATTTTTTAGTTGCAATAGACATACAATATTATGTTAGTCTGGGGTATACAACCTAGTCATTTGACATTGATATAAACTATGAAGTTATTACCCCAGTACAGATAAGTATATGGTGTTATACTTATATGACACCATATACAATTTTTGCAATGAATAATGCCATGGCTATTTTTATAACAAGAAATTAGTACTTTTCAATCACTTGTGTATTTTTAACCTTCCCCCCTCCTCATCTGATAATCATCCATTTGTATATATATTTATGAGTTTGTTTCTGTTTTGTTTGTTCATTTATTTTGTTTTCTATATTCCACATATAAGTTAAATCATATGGTATTTGCCTTTCTCTGTCTGACTCATTTCACTTAGCATAATACCCTCTAGGTCCATGCATATTGTTGCATATGTTAAAATTTCATTATTTTTATGGTTGAGTAATGTTTCATTGTGTATATGTAACACATCTACATTCTCTACTTATTCCTCAATGGACACTGGGGTGCTTCCATACCTTGGCTATTTTAAATAATCTATATATATATAAAAGGCTAATATGTTAAGTGTCCATCTGGCCAGTTGCTATGATGCACACTGACCACCAGGGGGCAGACACTCAATGCAGGAGTTGTCGTGATACACACTGGCCTTTTACAGGGAAATGGCCCTGCAGACCTAGCACCCACAAAGCAACACTCGGCTTCCCCCAAGTGGGACACAGGCCCCGCCACCACCCCAGAGCAACAGCCCACCAAATCGCAGCCAAAGCTGCCAAGAACCATGGCACAAAATGCGGCTCACAGTCTAGCCCAGCCCAGCCCCAAACGGTCACTGTGGGTGCTGGGTAATGATATCACGTAGCAACACCAGTCTTTCTCTCCCTAGTGATGACTAGCCTCCTTGCAGTTTCTTCAGCCCAAGAACACAATTTGCTTTATAGCCAGGTGGAAACATTTCACACTTTAACCAAATGTCTGTGAAGCATTTTTCTGTGTCTCAACTCATTTGATCCTCACAGAAGTCCTGGAGTAGGTAGATAGGTGACTTGGTGAAATCCTATTTTCTTTTCATTAGCTGGAAAATGGAGATTTAGAAAGCTTATAATCTTGACCCGACTAAAAAGAAGTAAGAAATGGAGAACCTAGAAAATGACTTCAGGTTTTGTCACTGTGCAGAATATAATCAAACACTGCTACAATTAAATATTTTACCCTTTGTTCTCCCTGCGTGATCTACAATAGTAATCTGCTTCGTGTTGTTATTTTCTGCTGTGTTGCTGACAATTATCTGAAAGAGAAGTTGGGGTGCTTCACTAGGCTGAGACAAGTTTAGCTAAATCAGAAAGCAGGTCTAATTAAGCAAGTTTATCTATCTATATATAAAGCTCTCGCTGGCACCAATCACACGCATGTGTTTCCATCTGTCATTGTCAATCATGAATATGGTTGACACTTCTATTATAGAGAAAGGGTCAATAGCAATATTAAAATATGTCTTCTAGTTAATTTCCTTTCAATGTGCATGAATTCGTGCATCAGTCCACTAGTGCTATAATAAACATAGGGGTGTATATATCTTTTCAACATAGTGTTGTGGAATTCTTTGGTTAAATAACCAGAACTCAAATTGCTGAGTCATATGGTAGTTCTATTTTTAATATTTTGAGGAACCTCCATACTTTTTTCCATAGTAGCTGCATGAATTTACAGTTCCACCAACAGTACATGAAGGTTCTCTTTTCCTCACATCCTGACTAACACTTTGTTGATTTATTGATAACCATCCTGACAGGTGCGAAGTGATATCTCATTATGGTTTTTATTTCCCGCTCTGTGGTGATTAGTAATGTTGAACATCTTTTCAAATGTCTGTATATCCTTTTTAGAGAAATGTCTATTCAGGTCCTCTGCCATTTTTTTCAATTGGATTGCATATTATTTGGTGCCTCTCATTTCTTAATCACCATACTGTGGGTGTGGGATTCACCTGCTCCACATCCTGGGTGTGGCTTCTTCTTCATATCCTTAACTATAGGAATTTTGTTCAGATCATCTTTAGGTGGTTCTCAGTAAAGGTGGCTTTTTATCCACTGACATTCTTACATGATTTTCTTTCAGACAAAAAAGCCACATCTGTGCAAGATACCATCCTAATGTGCCCAGGAATAAAGACAGAATATCCAGGCCAGTAAGTGCCCAGCTCGGGGGTTACATAGGCAGTTGTTGTCATCATGAGTTTTCCAGAATGTGAGATGCCGCCTGCTGAGAAAATGCCTGTCTCTTTCTTAGAGGGTTTTGGGCTACCTTGGCAACCACCTTTGTTGGAGGTCCCCCAGATGCTCAGGGATCTGCTGAGAAAGATAGGAATGCAGGAGGTGTTTTGTGCAAGGGATGGTACCAGTGTTCCTACCAACCTTATGAAGCGAAGCCATGCATAGGGTTTATTCTATGAATACAGAAGAGTGGAGATGGTGACACCAAGCTATCCCTAGTCACTTAGCCCCACCACCCGCTACAAGGTCAGGGCTCCTTGCTGTATGGTCAGCCTTTTATGCAGAGGTTGATTTTGTAGTGCATGGAAATGAGCTCAACTTACCCATGCTGTCTGCTCCCTGCTGACTAAACGCCTCATATTCTATGTCATTACTATGAGGGGAACTGTGGGCTACAGCTTAAGAGCAGGAACTGTATCAATCCGGGCTGGTGGTGACTGTCTGCCTTTTCTGTGTTTAGGAAGGTCTTCATTGAAGTTAGCCTGAACAATGGCATCAGCTTCATCAACAACGATATTGAGATCATCAGTGAGGAATGTGTGAGTGTTGGGTCAGGCTACAGCCTCAATCCAGGGCTATGCACATCCCCTGCACTGGAGGGAGAGACACCCTGTGAAGGCAGGAAAGGGGACCAGAGACTGTAGGCAGGCCCAGTAGCTACCTGGTGTTGACAGCCACCTCCACAGAATCTCACAGCCAGCCCAGGTTTTAGCCTTTAATGAGGGAGCTCTTTCCCCATTCAAGTTTGGAAAGTACCCTAGGAGTGCATCTACTAGACCCCTGGATACAGTCACCTGGCCAGGCCTTTTAGAAACTCTGCTCTCTATCTGTGAACCAAGTATCATTAAGGATCGTGGTAGAACCAATTAGAGCTCTGCCCACAAGGGTAGCCAACTTGCCACTTCCCCAGGCCCAGGTCTAGTGGCAGGGAATTCTGGTCTATCTGTGTTCCAGCTGGGGTGAGTGGGAGATGCTGGGAGGCTGTGTGCTAGGGACCACAGGTCTAAACCCCTGGACTCCCTCGGTCCCACAAATCTAGGTCCAGGCACAGGGGATTTAGACAGTAGGACCAGCTCTTGCCCTGCTCAGTTAGGGTGTGTTCCCATTGCATTGGTGCAGCTGGTGAGGGCTCTGAACTGACTCATGAACTTCACAGCCCTGGCTTCTGCTCGGGGAACACATGCTGTCATTTTGCAGATGACACGCCCTCCCTTCAGAGTCTCCTCTTTCTCCTGCTCCTCAGTGGCCTCTCTGCTAACTCTCTCTGTACTGGGCAGGGAGGTTGTCCTTCTGCTGGTAGGGAAGCCTCAGCGATGTGGGGGGCGGGGACTCAGCTCAGGGAGAGGCACCTGGGTTTATTCTATGTGGGGGGCTAGGGGGCTGCTCCCCAGGTGCTCGCTTTTCAGAGCTCCACATCCACGTACCTTAGCCCAGGTGCATGGCATGGGCAACAGAGAGAGTTAGGCTAGAGAGGAGGTGACCCTAGGAGGAGGGACTCCTGTGCCTAATTGCCACTGCCCTGGTGTCCTGCGCCAGCTTGTGGGGTTCCAGTGGTGCTGACAGTGCTGCTTCTGTCCCAGGCCTGGCCTCCTAGCCCCACTGTGGCCACTGCAGATGGGGAAACCTGAGGAGAAGGAAATAGTTGGACAAGGCAGTAGGTGAGGGATGCCTGGTGCTGGTTGCCTGGCTGGAGCCTACCAATGCCCACCGCAAGCCTCTCGCATGTGTCCTTTCAGCAGACGACAACTGTTCCTACAACTACCACAACACCTGCCCCTACCACTACCCGGAAGCCTACCACTACCCAGCAGCCTGCCACTACCCGGAAGCCTAAAACTACCCAAAGGCGTACTACTACCCGGCAGACTACCACTACAACAACCCAGCCACCTCCCCCCACACCACCTCCACCACCACCACCTCCCCCACCACCTCCCCCACCACCTGATCCAACACCTGAGCCAACACCTGAGCCAACAACGGACATGCCACCTGACACAACGACTGCCCCACCACCCACTACACAGTTCATGCACATTGCCGACCCTCTGTACCTCCTTACACTCATCCCGGCCATGCTCATGTTCCCCTTGCTCTTCTGTTGCATCTGGCGTCTATGCTTCAAGAAGGTGAGTGACTCCTGCCCACACAGCCCTGTGACCAACCCCAGGGGAATGCCGTGCCTGCCTGATCCCACCTGTGGGAGGTTCCCATAAGCTCCATACGGCCACATGAGCAGACAAGGTGCTCTGTCCTCCTCTCCCGGAACAGCCTGGGCTTCTAAGGAGCGTCCTGCCATGTGCTTCCTTCAGGGAGCAAGCACATGTGCTGCCCTGGCCCCTGGGCAGAAGTGAACCAAGACAGCCGAGAACAGGGCTGCCTCACAGCAGCCAGGATTCGGAAGGACTCGGGGGACATAATGGAGGATGCCTGTGCTGGCGAGGAAAGAAGTGGTACCACTGGAGGCACGGGTAGCCCAAAAGGGAGAATGATGCTGGCCAGACTCACAACCCCTGGGGCAGCTGTGCCTTTGAAAACTACCTGGGTCTCTGCACATCTCCAGGGCCTCCCGGCATGCCTTCTTCAGTCATTACTAAGGGCCAGGTTGTGCTGGGTCCCTGCTGGGCACAAGGGGACACATAGGAAGGTGCCAACGTCCTTGCAGGAGCTCACAGTCTGGTATCCGGTCTGGTAATGGTACTTGGGGCATTGGGGGCAAAATGTCAGCCTCACAGTTTGTGGCAAGTGCCCTTTGTAACCAGAACAACAAAGGACAGAGTCAGCTTCAAGGAGGGATTGAGGCAGTGGCACTGGCTAGCTAGGTCTGCAAGGACACAGGCCAGAGCTTTGGATAGAGAAAGAGAACAGCAGAGGCGCGAAAGAGCAGGCAAACCAACCAGAAACAAGCAGGTCAAATCAGGTAAAGGAGAGAGGATGAGAGAGAGAGGGAGCCCTGGGTGCGGGTGACTGTCATCCCTGAGGACTGGAAAGCCAGAGCAGGCTTCGGGGGCGGGTTAGGGAGGGGTAGAAGAGGGGAGGGGGAAGGGGAGTTGGTGGAGAGAGGAAGAGTTTAGGCCATGAGCTGTCATATGATGGTGGGCAGCTGAGGAAAACTACTGTGTGGAGGCCTCTCCCAGGGACCAGGCTCCTTAGTCTGGCTGTCTCCCTGTCAAACCCACAGGGAGCTTTTAATTCCCTTTGCTACCTGAGCAGCCTGAGGCTCAGAGAGGAGGCTCAGGGAGGAATGCGCACCCAGATTGGCACCCCAAACCCCATGTTCTGTCCTGCTGCTGCAGAGCAGGGCCCCCGTCAGCATGGCCATCAGCACCCTCCGTGCCCCTCCCAGCTGTGCTTATGTCTCTTTAACCTTCTAGACCATCAAGGAGCCACCCCCAGTGCAGAAACCAGAAAAGGTAAGTCCTGGTTTGGTCCTGATGTTGTCATCAGGCCTGGTGGGCACAGTGACCTTGACAGAGGCCTCCTGCAGCCTAGGGGCTACTTCCACTCCCCCACCCACCAGCTCCACCCACTTGAGCAGAGAGCCAGGAGGAACAAGAGGGTGTCAGAAGCCCAAGGAGGACATGGAACTCACAGAATGTCACCCAGACATCCTTGCCCTGCGCCCAACACGGCCTGATCTAGGGCACTGTCACTGCAGTGGTAGCCTAGGGGAGCCTGTTGCTGCCACTGCTAGGATCACAGTAACATAAAAGGGACTTTTCTTGTCAATTCCCAAAGGACTGCTTGCAGGGGTCCTTCCTCAGGACCAGGTGAGCTTTTCGAAAAGGAGCCTCAGGAAACCTGGACACCCCTGCAGGTTCTGGTGTACCCAGGGCTCCATTTCCTTGTCCCCCTCCCTGTGTCCTCCCAGGGCAGGGGCGTGGCTGGCGGTGGCCTGTAAGGACTGCAGGGCTGAGGAGGGTGCAGGGAGTCTGACCTGGCATTGAGCTGTGAGGGAGGCCAGGCCCAGGGGAGCACAGGGACCTCGGGGCAGGTGAGCAGGTTGAGGCGGCTCAAACCAGTGCCCATATAGAGTGGTGGACCTGGGCATGGTGTCCTTGAAACGCGGGGCCTGGCATCAGGGTGGGGGAGGCGAGAGGTGGGGGCAGGCGGGGGAGACAGGCTTCACAGCACTGGGAGGCCCCTGAGCTGGCTGCAGTGTGACATGGGAGGCTGGATCTGCCAGAGTCAGGTAATGCAGCCCCGTCACTGGCTAGTGCTCTCACCCTGACAGCCCTCCAGCACAGCACACAGCCCAGGACCGGGCTTCCGAAGGGCAGTTTGAGGGAAACCAAGGGAACTGGAAAGTACCCCCTGTTGTTTCTGGAAAGAGCCATGTGTGCAAACCCACAGGACTTTGTGTGTGTTTTCCCTGGAAGGCACTCTGTGATGGGGCAGGTGCTACTCATTGGTGGTGGACTTCTCCCACAAACGTTTGCTGAGTGTCTGAAAGCTGACAGGTGCAGGGCAACAGGAGGCCTGTGTCTGCACCCAGGAGCTGCCAGACCAGGAAGCAGACAGTGTTTTCTCTTTCTAGGAGTCAGAGACACGTCCCATACAGACATGTCCCACAGTGATTGTCCCTTGTTGTGGGTGCCAAGTACGCCAGATGAGAAGGATAGAGGTGAGAGGGCTCCTTAGGGAACTGTACCCTAGGGAGGCAGTGTGCATGCTTACAGCTTCCTCAGAACCACGTCTGCTTTTCAGGGCAAACTGGACACCTTGTGTGACTTTGTTCAAAACTGCAGCCCAGTGCCATTGATGTATTGTCAGCCCTTGGACAAGGTAAATAGAGGAATAGGGATGCTCCCTGTGGGTGGAAATCTTGTTTTTGCCCCTGACAGTAGCCCAATAGGACTGTAAGTTACAGAGCCTTGTCTGGGCATCTGCCAAAGGAAGATGCTCCACACATGAAGAAATGGCAGCGAGGAGCCTTCCATGCTGATGATTCTGGGCATGGCACCATGCATTTCCCTCGCATTGTGGTCTCAAGAGTGACAGGAAACTCGAGCATTACTTCGCACGTGCCAACTTAAATGAAGGAAGGCAAACAGCAATTTCTATTGGCCTCCCAGCCCATAGACCCTCCCCTCTGACCACTGACCCTCTGGGTCCACTGGCTCCACCCCATTCACCAAGTGTCTCCTAGGCCGGTCACTCAGGACCATGCGTGGTGGCAGGCATGATGACAACACTCCCAAATTTTTGTTGAATCTTTCACATGGGACACCTGGGAGCCTAAGAGCTTTACATGTTTTTCTACATTACTTTTGCCAGCAAAAGTAGGTATTAATATTTTTGTTCAGTTTACCAAGGGGACTGATGTGCAGAGAGGCTGAGTGACTTGTCCCAGCTCACAAAGGCCAGGAGTGGCAGAGCTGGACTCAAACCCGAGGCCTGGCCCCACCCTTCTCCCTGCTCTGCCCCCTTTTGAGTCAGCACTTCTGATCTCAGGAGATTACCCCCAAACCACCAGAAGGCTCCCCTACTCAGACCCAGGCCCAAGGAGCGTGGTGCTCCTGCCTCACCAGGCAATCACCTCCCTGGGCTTTGTGGTGCTCAGACTCTTTGCTCAGATGGTCCAGGGAGCCTGGAGTGTGCTCTTGTCCCCAGGGTCTGCAGTGAGGGCTTCATGGCCACATCCAGTGAACCCTGACTCTCAGTGGACAGGTAGGTGGGCATTTGGAAGTTCTGGGCTGTATCATTCTTATCCCTTTCTACGAGGCCTTGGGTGCTGCAGCCTCCACAGCCTGTCACCCATCAGATGATGTCCCTACTGCCATTGTCCTATGGGCCTGTGTCCAATCTAAGGACCTTGGAGAGGGCTCATCCCTTCAGGTCACACTCATTTAGAGAGAATAGCAATGCTGTGGTGGTTGGGGCTGTAGGGCCTCCCTCATCCTTGTTTCTCAGGCTCCCAGTTCAGGGCCAGCAGACAAGTCCCACATCACAACAATCAATAGGAGTCCAGAGTCAGGACATAGAAATTGGGGGATACCTGGAGAAGTCAAGACAGAGGTCCAACACCTGAACCAAGTCTCCTAGGAAGAACCTACGCTGGAGTCCAGCATCTAGGGAGAAGGGCATAACAAAGACCCAGTCTTCAGTCCCGATGAGTACTGACTCTGACCTCCTTTAGTCAAGGAAACTACAGCCCTCTGTTCTGATTTTTATACATTCTAGGGGCCCAGTGCACAAGTTTTTGCACCTTGAAAGGAACTGTGGGCCGTAAGGCTGCCATGGGCACAGGGCCAGGTCTCGGTCCATCCTCTGTGCCCCTGGTCCCTTTTCTGCTGGCAGCCCCCCTTCCACAGCCGATGCTCCCACCCACTGATGGTGCCAGCCCCACTCACACCTGCTGATATCGTGGAGTGATTGAGGCAGGGGCCAGCAGTGGATGCGAGCGGGGCCAGCAGCAGGTGCGAGCACCAGGCAGGACTGCAGTACATGGGAGCAAAGAGTTTTCAATAACCACCAGAGGCTCACCCCAGTGACAGCAACCAGTGCCCCACCTTGGTGTGGTGCCCCCACTCACCTACTCCACCATCCTGCCACAGCCGACACCCACCATGTTCTTTGCTCTGCCACCTGCTGCCAATGCCTGCTATGTTCCACAAGCGCCCCCTGGTGGTCAGTGCACATCATAGCAATTGGTTATTCAGTTGTTTGGTTGTTCCTGTTGTTCCGCCGTTCAGTCTATTTCCACATTAGCCTTTTATTATATAGGATACTAGAGGCCTAGTGCATGAATGCGTGCACCAGTGGGGTCCCTCGGCCTGGCCTGTGGGATCAGGTCGAAACCGGCTCTCCAACATCCCCCGAAGGGTCCCAGATTGTGAGATGGTGCAGGCCAGGCCAAGGGACCCCACTGGTTCACAATTGGGGCCAGGGAGGGACATGGGAGGTTGGCCAGCCGGGAAGAGACCATGGGAGGGCTCCAGGTCATGTCCGGCCCATCTCACTCAGTTCTGATCCGCCAGACCCCAGCAGCAAGCTAACCTACCAGTCAGAGCATCTGCTCCCTGGTGGTCAGTGCATGTCATAACGAGCCGTTGAGCGGCCTTAGCATATTATGCTTTGGTTGGTTGAACAGCCAACTGGTAGACCGAACATTTGCATATTAGGCTTTTATTATATAGGACATATATATTTGTATATACATTTGATTGATTTCAGAGAGGAAGAGAGAGGGAGAGAGAGAAACATCAATGATGAGACAGAACCATTGATCACCTGTGTCCTGCACACCCCCTACTGGGGATTGAGCTAACAACCCAGGCATGTGCCCTAACTAGGAATTGAACCATGATCTCCTGGTTTATAGTTCTATGCTCAACCACTGAGCCACACATGCTGAGGCTTCTTGTCTCAGTTTTAATGGCATCCAAGTGACCTTCTCACTCTTCTTTTCCTTGCAGGGGAGATGTGTCAACTTCACACTAATGAAGCCCTACCTTAGGCAGTTGCCTTGCAGCCCAAAGATGTACCTTGGGCCAAGCCAGGGGTGCATCCCTCTCAACAACAGCTGCTCATGGGGCCGACATCCCCCACCTACATGCCCACAGCTTACTTCCAGGATGCTACCACTGATTGCTCCCCCTGCCCAGGCACTCTGCAGAACTACCTTGTCACTCCCACACCCATAGCCAATCTCCAGAGTACCAAAATCTCAAAATTAATAAGAAAACCTTGTATACGGAATTGGACATATATATTGAGTGGTTTAAAGTAAAAAAAAAAAAAAAAGAGTTGGATTTTGTTGCTGATTAGCATAAGAGGTTATTGCCTGGTGAGCATTGCTCTCCGTGTAGGGAGATTTACCTATACTGCTCTTGTAAGGACAAAACATGCTGCTGTCCTGTGAATGTAGACATGGATGATTCTCTCTCCCACAAACTGATCTTCATCTGTCACCAAGAACTGGGACACCTGTGTTTCTAGTCAAATTTTGCTCTTTGAAAAAAAATCCCAAACCATCTCTAAAATATAAATGCTATCCTGTGTCTATATTCACTGGATTTTACTAAGTCTCTTGGGAAAGTTACTCTATCTGTGCTTTATTTTCCTAATTGAAAAGATGGAGATAATGGTATCTCTTTTACAGCTGGCCATGAAGCTATAGTAAGTGCTGCAATATGCTCAGCACAGGGCCAGGCCCTTAGCAAAAACACAGGTGCCAGAAGCTAATGTCTTCCCTTCCTGCCCCAGTGGAGAAGGGAGATATGAGCTCAGAGACATCAAGAAGCATTTGGAGAGCTCAGGGATGTCAGTGTAGACCATGCCTAAGTCTTTCCACTCACAACAAAGGAAAACTAATTAGGTCCAATAACTGGCCAAAAAAAATGGATATTTATGAACTTCTGGCAAATAATTCAGAATAATCCTCCTAAAGAAGTTATAAATGTCTTCATTATAAAGAACTATGAGGGCTCTGGCCGGTTTGGCTCAGTGGATAGAGCGTCTGCCTGCAGACTCAAGGGTCCCGGGTTCGATTCCAGTTAGGGGCATGTGCCTTGCTTGCGGGCATATCCCCAGTGGGGGGTGTGCGGGGGGCAGCCGATCAATGTTTCTCTCTATCGATGTTTCTGGCTCTCTATCCCTCTCCCTTCCTCTCTGTAAAAAAAAAACATCAATAAAGTATATTTTTTTAAAAAAAGAACTATGAAGACACACACACACACACACACAAAACTAAACAAAATGAGAAAGTCTACAAAGAAATAGAAACTATCAAAAAAGAAAATATAAAACTAGACCTGAAGAATACAATGACTGTACTAAAGAACACAAGAGTGTACTGAAAAATACAATGGAGAACAGAAACAGCAAACGAGTAAATAAAAGAAAAAATCGGTGAACTAGTAGATCAGTCTTTTGAAGTTATCCAGTCAATGAAGCAAAAAATAAAAATAATAAAAGGAGTAAAATATGATTATGTATTATGGTACATAATAAACAGAAACAAATCTACAAATTATGGAAATTTCAGAATGAGAAATAAAAAAAAGGAAAGTATTTTAAACAATAAGGTTTGAAAAGTTATCAAATATGGAGAGAGAAATGGGCATCCAGATTCATGAGACCAAAGGACCTCAAACAGATTAAACCTGAAAGGGCTACAGTGAGACACATTATAAATAAATTGTCATTAGTCTACAAAAAAAGAAAATTTTGAAAGCAGCAAAAGAAAACCAAGCCATCACATACATAGAAGTCCTAAAAAAATTTAGGTTGGATTTCTCAACAAATATTTGCCAAGCCAGAAGGGAGAGAGATGAAATTTTCAGATGTGTTGAGAGAGGGAAAAAAACTGTCATTCAGGAATATTATTCCCAGCAAAGCTGTTCTTCAGAAATAAAGAAGTGATAAAAACATGCCAAATAAACAGAAGTCCAGAGATTTCATCACAGTAAACCTGCCTTACAAGAAATGCTAAAGTAGGTTCCAAAGCAAAAATAAAAGGTGTCCTTGCTGGTTTGGCTTAATGGATAGAGCAAACAAGCATGTCAAACTCACATGTGGCCCACAACGAATATTTTTGCAGCCCAGCCAATATAATGGTATATAAGAAACGTTTTAATAAAAATTTTGTAACTTAATTTTTACAATATCCTGTTATACATAATTATTAATAATGAACTACAACATTCGCTAATGACTGGTTACTATAATCATGTTGCATTCATTTCCCTTACGCACTTTACGCACAGGTGCACCAATTCTCTCCACTAATACTAGCAGCGAATATCTTAGCAGCCGATTGCAATGTCATTAGTTTTGTACTGACTTGTTTGATGTGCACAACAGGAAATACTTCATTTTTGGAGAACAAGAAAAATAGGTTCATTTGCATTATGCTTATTAATTTGTGCAGTTATTCAGTGTCTGGTAAGTTAAGGTTCAAGAAAAAAATATTAATTTTTATTAAAATGTTCTATTATTTTATGTTAACAATTACTCATTTATTTCAACCCTTTGTATTCAGCATGTCTCTATCGAAATAAACCTATGTTTCTATGAAAATTGAAGCTTTTGTTTTTTTGTGGCCCACAAAAACTTAAACCTTGTTTATTTGGCCTGTGCTAGCCTTTGAGTTTGACATGCTTGGAATAGAGCATCAGCCTGCGGACTGAATGGTTCTAGGTTCTATTCCAGTCAGGAACACATGCTTGAGTTGCGGGTTCAGTCCCCAGTGTGGAGCATGCAGGAGGCAGTCAATCAATGATTCTTTGTCATAATTGAGTTTCTATTTCTCCCTCTCCCTTCCTTTCTAAAATCAATAAAAATATATTTTTTAAAAGGTGATAATTAACATCATAAAATCATTTATGTATTTTTTAAATTCACTGATAATATACATACATTGTCAAATTCAACAATATTGCAATGATAGTACATTATTCTTGTAGAATGCTAGTTTAGGAGTTTAAAAACAATATATATATATATATATATATATATATATATATATATATATATATATTAAAAGCCATACCTATAATAATTTGTTATTAAACACACAATAAAAAAACTGCATTAAATATTGATAACCTAAAATAAAAGAGATGGAGAAATAAAAAGATAAAGTTTATATTGCTATAGATGTTAAGGTGTTATAGGCTTAAAATAGGATGTTGTAAATATAAGATATTTTATGTAATCTCATGATAACCACAAAGGAAAACCCTATAGTAGATACACAAAAGATTATGAAAAAGGAATCCAAGCATACTCCTACAAAGGGTCATCAAATGATAAAGAGCAAAATTAGAAACAAGGAACAATGAATCTACAAAACAGAAAACAATGAACAAAATGGCAATAATAGGTCCTTACCTATAAATAATTACTTTTAACATAAAAGAATTAAGTTCTTCAATCAAAAGACATACAATGGCAAAAGGGATTTAAAAATTAAGTTTCAATTATGTGCTGTCTACCACAGACTCATTTACTTTTACAGATACATATAGACCAACAGTGAAAAAACAGAGAAGATATTTCAAGCAAATGATGCCAACAACATTGGCAATATAAGACAACAGTTATAGCTATACTTAAATAAAACAAAATAGATTCCAATATAAAAATGGTCAAAACACAATGAAGTTCATTATGTAATGATAAAGAAGTCAATCCATCAAGAAGATAAAACAATTGTATATATTTATGCATTCAAATCAGCGCTCCTAAATGTATAAAGCAGTTTCAAACAGAACACAAGAAGTAAACAATACAATAATACTTGGGGACTTTAACACCCCATTCACAGCAATAGAAAAATCATCCAGACAGTGAATAGATAGCAGATTTGAACAACACTATAGGCCAAACCAGACCTACCAAACATACCCATTGTATTACATTCCATCCAAAAGCATCAGAATGCAAATGTTCTCCAAGTCCCTATGGAATAGTTTTAGGATAAATATTATGACAGACCACAAAACAAGCCTAATCAAATTCAAGAAGATTGAAATCATACCAAGCATATTTTCCAACCATAATAATATGAAACTAGAAATTAATAACATGTGGAAAGATGGAAAATACCAAATACATGAAAATGAAACAACACACTTTTGAACAACCAGTGGATCAAGAAGAAACTAAGAAAAATTTTTAAATATCATGGAAAATTAAAAGGGAAACAGCATACCAAAACATGAGGAGATGTAAAAGAAGTTTAAGAAGTAAGTTATAGCAATAAACACATCAAGAAAAAATAAATATCTCAAATAAATGAACTAAGAAAAAAACTAAGCACAAAGTTGGCAGACGGAAGAAAATAAGTTTGGAGCAGAAATTAATGAACTAAAAACTAAAAAGATAGAAAATACAAAGAAAAGGAAACAAAATTATTGGCAAACCTTTATTTAGACCTTCCAAAAAAAGATGGCCCAAATCAATAAAACTATAACTGAAATGGAAGACATTACACCTGATACCACACAAATACAAAGATTCTTAAAAGTTTACTATGAACAACTACAAAATAACGAATTGGACAACTTGGAAGAAATGGAAAAATTCTAGAAAACACAACATACCCATACTTAATCATGAATAGAAAATATGAACAGATCAATAATAAGTAAAGAGATTTAAAAGTCATCAAAAACCTCCCAAAAAAGAAAAGCACAGAACCAGATGGTTTCACTGGTGAATATTATCAAATGTTTAAAGAAGCATTAATACCAATTCTTCTCACACTTTTCCAAATAATTGCAGAGGAGGGAATACTCCCAAACTCTTTTTACAAGCCCAGCATTACCCTCATATCAAAGTCAATTAAGGGTACTACAAGAAAGAAATATACAGACCAATATCCCTGGTGAATGTAATGCAAAAATTCCCTACAAACTGCTACCAAGCCATTCAGCAGCACATAAAAAGATCTTACAACTGATCAAGTGGGATTCTCCCTGGAATGCACAGAAATCAATACATCTTCCCTAGCAGGTTTGGCTCAGTGGATAGAGTGTCAGCCTGTAGGCTGAAGGGTCCCAGGTTCGATTCCAGTCAAGGGCACATGCCCAGGTTATGGTTTTGGTCTCCAGTAGGGGTGGGCAGGAAGCAGCTGACCAATGATTCTCTATCATCATGGATTTTCTATCTCTTTCTCCCTCTCTCTTCCTCTTTAAAA